GTTAAAATCTTAATACACCCAATACGCTCCAAAGAAACCTTATTAGCAGTAATAAAGACATACTTATTTTTATTCAAAGCAATGCCACTAACGGATTCAAACTGAGTGAAGAAATATAAAAGCCTTTACATCCTATTTAAAGAAGCATTCGTAAAGATAATAAAAGCATTAGTAGAGCATAAATGAGAAATGTTAAACCCACCAAAGGTTATAAAATAAAGACTAGGAACCTTATGAAATAAATCAGCAAGCCCTCTAAACAGATACTCCGTAGTAATAATATAGATAACCGGAGAAAGAGGATTCCCTTGCCTCAGCCCATGAGAAGCCTTAAAGAAACCATTAGCTTTATCGTTGATAAAGATTTCAATTCAAAGCTTAATGAGATTAATAAAATGGGAACCAAAACCAAATAACTTCAAAGTCTCATAAAGAAATTTCCAATTAATATTATCAAAAGCGTTAGCAATTTTAAGTTTCAAAATCATGTTCCCACCTCTAGTTTTAATATCCAAATCTTGGAAAAATTCTTGAGCCAAAGGAATGTTATCAAAAATAGAACACCCTTTAGCAAAACTCATTTGTAAGGGGGAAATATTCTTAGGCAAAAGAAAAGATAAATGATTCATCAAAATTTTTAAGATAACTTTATAAAAAAGAGGAGCTCAAACTAGTGGGCCTAAAATCTTTCCAAGAAGAACAAGAATTACTCATAAGAATAAGAAAAATAAAAGTATCAGTAAAAAACTTAGGGATAGTATTACCTTGTAAAATATCAATAATAAAAGAGAAAATATCAATACCAATGACATGCCAAGTTTTTTTGAAAAAAACATAGCCATGAAACTTTCAAGATCAACAACCGACTCACTGTTCAGAACAAGGAAAATATCCTTAACTTCCTCCAAAGAGGGATATTTAGACAGTAAAACTTTATAATAATGAGAAATAAGAAAAGGAACAATATTAGATTGTTATTTGCATCAATTATGGTGTTCGAATGAAGGATAAATAACTCTTTCAAAATAATCTAATGAATTTCCTCGACCTCGTAGGGTAAGCCAATGAAGGATTACTCATTATTTTATCCATCAAAAGTCATATGATTAGCTCATCATAGCTATTAGAGGTAATAGGAGCAAAGAAATGATTTATTTCCTATGATTTCTCATATACCACAAAATGGAGAGAGTTTAAAATTTTATTAGAAATTGTTAGAATTTTCTAATCTTAATATGTGTAGCATATTACTTCAAATTCTGATTTAATAAATATAATTTGAGTATCGTTTGATGTTTCTTTAGAACCTGAGAAGTTATAAACAATAGTTATTATCTCATATTAGTTTTCACAACACTATTGACTTCATTCCAAGCCCTTATGAAAACTTTCATCTTTAGGGTGGATATAATCAAACTAGTCATGGGAATACAAGTTCAAATATCTATGAAGAATCATGTGTTTAGTTTATTCAATCACGTGAAAATTTTTTTAATTGAATTTCCATAAAAATGATAAAAACTGATATTATCTAGATTAACATTCATCATTCTAGTTCTAAATGTTGATCTTGACAATACAGAGGTAAACGAGGAGGGGGCTCTCATTCCCTTGGTTGCGTCTATTTTATGCATTGGAGATGTCAAGTAGTCTCATAATGTTGGTTATGGCCTTTTTAGTTGAGCTGTCAAAATTGCAAAAAGTAGATAATGATAGCTTCATATATAGAAATTTGTATTTTTATTCATTGATAACATATATTTTTCACTACAGGTGAAATGCCTATTTTTTCATTTGCCCAAATGCCCTAAATCCATGAAAAATAATTGCTTTTTGGTAGATTTTTTTTTTTGCTTGTGAAATGCACATAAAAAAGTGGTCTACTATGGAAATTATCTGCTGGAAAATATTTTAACATTGTACTTGAAAATTTTTAACATAACCATGAAACAAAAATTTTATATTTTGAGTCAAATTACCTAAAAATATTATGTTGGTAATTTTTACAATTTTTTTTCTTTCAAAATGGAAATAGGGATATGCATCATAATTTCACTAGTAATATCTATTCAAATGTTTGATGACCAACTTATATAAATTTTGATGGCACCTGTCGACAAATTTTTTGGCAAAAGGTACTTTGGAAATTTTGCCAGTAATCCTGGAGGACAATGATTGTCAAAAATAGAATACCAAACTCATCATATCATTATTTTTTGACAATTTTTCAATCAAAAATCCATTGAAAACTTGCAGTAAAAAAAAGCCACCTTGCCTAAATTATTGTAAAATAAAATTTATACAATAAAAATTATTCAAAATAGCTCATTTCAATATTTCTACACTAACATTTCAACATTGGCAAGAATATTAATGCTAAAGTTATTACACATTCATATCAAAGCAAATGTTCAAATAGTTCTACTATAAATGTTGAGTTCTTGTAAAAGAAAAACTCAACATAAAAAGAAACAAATGTAGTCTAATTATAACCTGGATCGTCATTCTCTTTTGTCAATGTTGGTTGCTTTCCACAAATTGCCCCCCATTTTTGACAACTCCATCAATAAGCAACTTAGCTCCATATCCATCTCAGCTTGTAATTTTCAAATATTTTCTTGTTATAATTTCTAATATCCATATCACACCTGAGTAATGAAGACCTACATATAAATAGATTAATTCATTTTCTCCATCTAATAATAAATATGTTACTTAATAACATTGAAGGAATTTCGAAACATCTTTGTAATCTCTCTAAAAGAATATTAGATATACAAAACATATCATGATAGCTTATTATAAATTTTAGAGGTTAAGTGATATTTAACATAAAATAAAAAGTATTAGCTCCATGATGATCAGATATAAATACTATACATAAGGCATGTATTATATGATTATGTCGATATGAAATAAAATGAAATTGAGGGTTGGCATTGGGCAATATAAACCTTTAAAGCCTAAAATGAAAGCACAAAAAATTAAAATAAAGATATTTGAAATGTCTTGAAGTATCAAATAGCGTATCAAATAAAAGGTTTGTACTCTAAGTTTTCTTTTTTCATTTTATTATCCTGATTAATCATAGCCAAGATGGCTGGGTTATTTTGTTTTGGTAGAGCTACAAGAATTTTAGTAAGTAGTTATTGGATTCATTAGCTTCCATAGCTAGTTTGATGTACTGGTGAAGAGTTGAGTGCGATTTTCAATGTTGTTTGAGTTGCATTTTTTCTTATAATGTGAAATAAAAAACTTGAGATAATGACCATATCGAGAATAACTCCCTTTTTTTTAAGATGTCATTTAATCCCCTAATATATCATGCAACAACTTTAATATGGGACTCATTAAGATTGTTCCATCCACTCAACCTATAGAAAACTTCTATAAAATCACTTACCAAACAATCCCCATGCACATATTGCTAATATTTTTGGTGAATTATTGGCTCAAAATTAGTATGATAGAAATGAGCCCTCAAAAGATATTTCATCTCATACCAACTACAAATCCATCATTTCCCTTCTCCCTGTCTCATTCTCAACAATTGTGCTCACTAAGCACTAGCACCTTCTCCCAACCTACAAGCAACATACTTCACTTGTTTGTCCATTTCAACCTCCATGTACTTAAAGAAGATCTTAATGACACATTCCTAGTCCTAATTGTCTACGATGAGCAAAAATCCATCAAAGAACAAAATCAGTGCAATGGTATCATAACGCTGCTCTGAGTCAATATCATAGAGAGCTTGTTAGAGATATAAAGTTTCTCTTTGATAATGACAGGGACATATTTTTTTTAATTGGACACACAAATTATTATTTTTTTTTATTTTATCAATATTTCTTCAATAGCTATTTATAATTTTAGATTCAAAAATTTTAGATGGTTCAAAATTTAATTTCTTTTTTATATAAAATTCTTTTTATATAATTGAAATTATATTATATATTAAAACTAAAAATTATTTCACGTGAGAGCATTAGTTTGCTCATGCCCCCTTAATTCAAAGTTTTATTTTACTATCAAAGATTAATGTTTTTGGAACACATCAAAGTAAATCACTGATCAAATAAGTTGCAAAATTTCATTAAGAAGTTCATAAAGGGCTTTAATGTCGACGCCTTATGCCCCACTTACTGATCCTAAGCTGCAGATTAAAACTTTTTTCTTTTTTGGATGAACATATGCTTGAGAATTGTACAATAAAGATGGATGAACATACATATACATGATGCATGCAGATAGTGGTGGAGTAAGATTTTTTTGTAGGGGCATAATTTTTTGAAAAAAATATTATTTAAAATTATAAAAATGTAAATCACATAATTGATCATTATGCGACACTCATTAATCTATTGGTTGAGAGATTTTGCTATCAACTAGAGGCCATGTGTTCTAAAGTTATGTAAGTGATTAGTATGTGAGAGACAAATGTTGCACTGTTTGAGGCATTTTGGATTAGTCATGTCAAAGCATTAAGGTATTAAGTTCTATTGCTCAATGGGTTGGCTAAACTCACAAGACAAATGCTTCCATTTACCATACAAAACCAATAATAAAATTGAGGCCAAAATGAGAATAAAAAAGACCGAGTTGAAAAAAAAATTGATGATTTTACTTTTTAAAGGTCTTACATTGAACAAAAATCATCACAATAAGTAATCATCATTATTTTTTAAGTATAACTATTTTATGAAGAAAGATAACATTTTACCTGCAATAATTAAAATTTTATACTCCAACAAATAATGTCATGATTCTCCCTTAGTTATAAAGAAAATAAGAACATTAAAATGGTTTTTCTAAACTCATATAAAGTTTCTTTTATTTGATATTTAATTATTTCATAAAATTTTGATACAATTGAACCTTTTTTTTTACCACATTTATTTCCCCGCACGCCCCAATTTTATGACAAATATAATGAAACATATTCATTATATCTTCATAAATACATTACATTTAACTCAATAAGCTCAATTGATCCATCACTAGCTACAACCACTAGCCCTAAAGCCAATTTGTGAGTTCCCCACATCATAGACTACATCGATCCTGCGTTGCTGAATACTACCAATAATGACAAGCTTATTATCATCCTCATTGTTAACTATTGCTAAGCACCATTGAGATTTACTGGCATGATAAATTATCCCTGAGAAATCCAAGTTAACTACCACTTCGCCTTCAAAGACAAAAGAAATATCTGGAATCAGCACCTGCTTGAAGTTAGTGAGGTCATAGCATGTGTCAAGTTTAAATATTGGTGGTGCCATCGGATAATTGGACCATTTTTTTCTAAAAATTCTACGTAGGGCGAAGTAGGTAGTGGGTGGCAAGTGACTAAATGATGTGCCAGAGTCCAAAATAGTTCTAGGGCTACTAAATATAGTAGGTGGAAGGTCAAGCCTTTCACCCCAAATAAAAATGGCAGTGAGATTGAGGAAATATAAGGATGGCAATTTTGGGTTTGTTAGCATTGGTGTGTACTTTACATCAATACCTGGACTACCTAGTTCGAGATATCCAACTTTGTCAGCCCCTGATGGTAGACAATATGCGAATATATTATTATACATAGATGTTTGGGAAATAATTGAAAGAGTCCCACGGCCAAGGCCCAAGAACCCATCCATGTGTCCATAAGGACCAGTGTTATTATCTCCACAGCCAAAGTGGAAATTTGGTATATTATCATTGGAGAATTTTAAGGTGTCATTAATGAGGGAACCTTTAGTAAAACTACGGTCAGCATATCTTACCTCGTAGAGACAGGTGAAGGTAGAAGAGCAACCAAATCGAGGGAGTTGGGTACAATAGTTGGATATGCATTCGATGGTGGTGAAGGTGGAGGATTGGGTTGGGTCATAAAATGGATTTATTTGGTTATGACAATTAATGCAAGGGACACATTGGGTCCAGGTGAGATCACTACCAGTGTCAAATGTAACTGTAAAGTTCTTGGTAGGGGTGCCAAGTCCTATATTGACGATATAGCTTAAGACACCAATAGATGCACCAAAAATTGCTGGAACTCCTGCAAAAAGAGAGCGACCAACAAGGTTGAGGTGAGTGGTGGTGTTGGCAGCCTGGTGATTGATGTAGTCAACACGGGCTTGGTCCTGATGGAAGAGATCCACATGTGATGGTTTGTACTGGCGTGTCCAAGATGAGCATGGGCCTTGCGGGTGGACCACATTTAGCTTGGAAGAGCTCGTGCCTGTTACAATTCGAACATCTAGTTAATGTAATTATTGAGTTTTTTTATCTTTTCCTTCACTTTTGAGCTTGTTATATCAATCAAATGAGCTTATACTTATGATATCTATAAAAAAAATCCTAATTGCTGATGATTTATTTTTATTCTAATTATTTTATTAAAAAATAATCTCCAATAAGGTATTAAGAAATAATTAAAATTGCTCACAAACTTTTATTTGGAATAGAGCAGGAGCTACTCGGCAACAATGACTTGATTTCAATGAAATGGTGTTCTTCGGCAAGCTCTCGCGTTGATACTAAAACAATTTTCTCTATTAGAAGCAAAAAGAAAAACATATTGAGAAGAGTAGAATATGAGAGTAGAGAAGTCCTCATGATAATAGAACTTTTAAGGTTTGCTTAGGATATCTTGGAGTAAACCAAGTGCGGGAGGGGTTTTATAGGTGGTGAATTATTGCGTATATTGGGGTTATTAGGTATTTAAATTAGAAGATAAGTCATTATTTTAAGGGAAGATAAGGTTGTTGGAGAAGATATCAAATGAGAGTTTTGACCTATAAAGGAGGAAACAAATGTCTATTTATTCAGCTTGTTCTTATATTACGAAATTGCTAATTTTTTCTCACGTTTTAGTTTTATTTGAAGTTTTAAATTAATTGCACTTTTGTCAATCCAAATTTTGTAAAAGGTGTCAGCCATTGTATTTTGCCCTCTATTTGATTAATTAAAAACCTAACAGCTAATGATGACTGTTAAAAACTTTGAATATACTTTTAGCTTTCCCATGGCATAACTTATTATTTTTTAAAGAAAAAAAAAGAATCCAAAAATTTTTTATAGTTTTCTAAGTGAGAATTAAGCTTCGGGCATAACTTAATTATTAATTAATTAATTGATTTTATATCCAAAAATTAAATTTTAAAAAACATGTAATATATTTAATAAAATAGAAATGTAACTGACAAATAGAACAAATTTTTATTTATGTGCTTGGGTTCTAGTGTTTGATACCAAATTTTTTTCTTTCACATATTGTGTTTTGGTGTTGTATATTTGAGTTGGAGATGGATAGAAAGATGAGCAACACAATGCTCTAGATGTCGACGCTATTATATATTTTGTCAGACTAAAGACATATAGTGGAGTCTCATGGCACTCTAAACCTGGAGTAGTAATATTACAAGTGGGGATGAACATTATGGCTTGTCAAAATTTTACACGACCAAAAAATCATCTTGAACCCGACTCAAATATATTTTTTGTTTGGGCTAATCCATTTGATATACTGTTCAGGTTCATGTTTGTAATGTTGTCCCATATGTAAAATTGGTTTAGGTTTATGTTTTCCCAAAAACTCAAGACAAAACCAGATTGCCCCGTTCTTAATCTCAAGTGACTTGTCACATTACATAGACACTAAGTCATCATGTCTCACTCACTACATCATCATGTCACTCACATTACTCTCTTATTACTACATGGTCATGTCACCACTGCCAGCCTAACACCATCCTTCCCATGTTGCAGATATAATAGTGGCACCATCTCACCCATATTGCCATTGCCTCCTGTCGCCGTCATCCCAGCCACGTTGTTGTTGCCTCTTGATGAGGGCGTTATTGCTACCATCATGGATCAATTCAAGTTAACCTGGTAACCTACATGACTCAGGTCTAGGTTCACAATCCTGACACATTTGTAAATTTAGGTTGAGTTTGTGTCAACCAATTCGAATCTGGGTTAATTGGGTTGGACTTAAGTCGACCCGTCAACCCATTTTCTCACCCTTACGGATAGTTTTATTTCTTGTTTTTCTTTTTTAACTTGCAGTATTATGCCCCTTGGTTAGTTTTTTTTTCTATTTATCTATTACGTGTAAATAATGACATAAGTAATAAAGAAAATATTTTTGACATTAATTTTTTTCATTTTTAGAATTTTTGTATTTAAAAATTTTCAAAATTTAATCCTGACTTTTTTTTGTTGTATTTTCTCTTTCTTATTTATAGATTCTATATGGTTTACTTTTCCAACACACCCTCCTGAAAGGATATTTCACTTAAAATAAAAGTGGCTATTTATGTGGGAAAAGGCTAATTGTAAATAGAAATAGTTGAGGCAATTCGTGCAATTAACAATAATAGATTTGTCACATAGATAGAAATCTAATGCAATTTTGTAATATGAAAACATTTCAAAAATAAAAATTTAAATGAACAAATTGTAGCAAAGATTAGACATAACTAATTTTATTTGATGTAGATTAAATGGACGTAAATAAAAAACTAAATATAAGAATTCATATTATGAATATTTAAATTATATTTTTCTTTGATAAAAAAACAAAATTATTAATTTTATCCATATAAGAAATTATAATTATTAATTATTTAGTAAAAAATAATAAAAAATTTTAAATTTGATCAAAATAAATAAGTGCAAAATAATCTAAAAAAATAATATATATTTACAAGTTTCTTAAATCTTCTTAACATCGATCAATAAAGTGGATAGGAAATGAACTTCTTACTATTTTAAATCGAAAGGTATTTATCGGGAAATGAGCTATTCCTTTATGCAAGTGACAAAAGAACATATTATAGAGAATGGGAGGATTGGGCACTTTTAGTTAGCTGAAAAAGTATAAACTTATAAGGTAGTGAATTTGCATCAAAAGAATAGCTAAGTTAAAATTATAATAATCAAAAGGATAGACATAATATAATGCGTCACAAAACAAATTAAAGAGGGGCAAGACTAATTAAATTATCAAATACTATAATTAAAAGAATTGGTATTTTACTTGAATCAATCGTGGAAGAAAACATCCAGGCCAGCCTTAAAAAATTATTACAAAAGAAATAAGCCAACAGAACTAGTCACAACGTTATAAAAATTTACTATTGACTGAGGCACTATTGAAAATAAATAATAATAAGATTTCTTCCTTCTACAACATTATAAGTATGTTCTTATACAATTAATAAAGGAATGAGTCAAACGACTTTTTAGTACTCCCACAATTGGCAAGTAATAATGATTAATCATAATTAAGAAATGATATCTCAATAATCAAATCATTTTCACCAAATTACACATTACTCTATAA